TCAGTGATGTATTTATGGTCGTTTACGGTCGTAATTCTTGTTCGCATAAATCGGCGTTGATCTATGAGTATTATGACAGCTATTTAATTATGAACGACCAGGACTAATTACTAGAGACTAATTACTTGTTATTTTCGAAATTACGAATTTTATGGTAAAAAATATTTTATGAATTATTTACGTTTCAGTCGATCTTGCTGAATTGATTAATTTTCTGTTAAATTGATTTTATGAGATACACAAAATTATTCTGGTTTTTGTTAGTCAATATTTTTTATATTTTTAATTTGAACTGAAAGTAAATTTTTTGAATAATTACATGATATTTAATTATTTATTTAAAATATACGTATAGAATGATGTTAAACTTTATGTTAATGCAAAAGTAATGGAAAACGATTTTCTCGTAAATATTTATATGGCACTTGAAAGTTGTTTTATCTAAGAAATTTAGAAACTTTATCTCAGAAAATTAAAGACTGGTTCTTGAAAATCAGTAAGTCAATACATCTTACTAAAAAATAACTCTCTACGTTCGATCAAAACATTTACATCACAATTATTGCTTTTCTACTACTTTTTGCTATTTAAGTGCTCTAAAATACGTCAGCAATGTCACCTAACTAAAAACTCAAACTTGATAATGACGATAGTCAGTATCATTTAACATTTAAAACACTTGATCGACATCGTGTTAAATAATTTCTTCTTACGTAATGTCTTATCAGTCGATTTTGCACGTGCTGTCTCGGCTTAAAGTACATATTTATACAGAATGATTAATGATCTTAGACACACATTCAGTTCTGCAACTTTCTGTACCATAATTTTTGTATTACAATATTAATCAATTTTTTTAGGTGATCAATTCTTTCGTGCATATAAAAATTTCTTTAGTAAATGAAAATAATTATGTATGTTAAGTTGTCTCTTCATCAGAAGAATTGATACATCTATATTTTCTCACAAAAGTTAGTTAAAAAGTCAGACATAATGGATTCTTTTAAGACTCTTATGTCTCTTAAGACTCTTATTGCAATATTAATTTTTGAGGTTAAGTCTGACCAACTTCTGTAGCTACAAGTTTTTAATATTAAATAACTAGTATATTTTGAATTTTTGTACATCCTGAATGTACCCAATTGTGTCTTTAATTTATGCAAAAGATAATGAATTATTGAACAACTTTTTAAAGTAAGATGATGAATTACTCTACATCTTTTTAGGTTAAGATTAAACCTCCTACATAAAAATTCTCTCCAGGAGCTAAACAAGTAATAAATTACTTCGAACTCAAATTTTCGACTAATAGGCAAAGAGACAAAATGGTTTCTCATGCAGTAGAATCGTCGAATTTCAACGGTTTTTAATTGACACGAAGAGTAACCGTGTTCGGTGGTGTTTCTCAACGTAGGAGGTATCACGGTAGTTTACCACGTTCAATCTCGTTTAAATATTTAACGGTGGTCATGTATGCACGTCGATCGGCTCGTTATAACCAGCTTGACAGACCGGAGGTGGAGTCTGCGAGATACAGTCGCTATCGTGGTGCCCGGTATTAAAATGCAAATGATCACACTATCGCCGAGCGTAACTCGTATCAACGTGCTACCTCCGTAGCCGCGGACTCGTAAAACACCCTGACATCGTCTCCTTTCCCGTTCTGTATGCATAAAGTAACGCGGCTACGCAGACATTTCCACGCGCCGATCTACTCGATTGAAATTTCATTGTTCTTTCCATGCGAGAGACAGATCGAAATTTGATATTTGACGGGCTAAACGATCCAAATAATTGCTGTTTACGTTCCGATTGGCTGGTCAATTATCTAAATGCGATTGATCTTATCGTTGGACGGTGAAAGACGTTTCGATAGCACGTATCGTGTTTGCGACCAGGGAGAGTATAAACCTCTGGTAGAAATACATAGTGGTTGAATCTAGTAGTATCTATATTTGCGACTTTGATAAATAATCAGCTTCGATGTAGAATCACTTTGACTGTATCACTTTGAGAACCACTTTGACTGTATCACTTTGAGAACTACTTTGACTGTATCACTTTGAGAACCACTTTGACTGCATCATTTTGAGAAGCACTTTAATTGTGGATCACAATGACTATAATATATTATTTTTCTGACCTGACTCGCAATTTCAAAGTGCCAAATCTAACCTAACCCAGATTCATTCCCAAATCTAACCTAACCCAGGTTCATTCCCAAATCTAACCTAACCCACAACTTTAAAATCCTAAATCTAACCTAACCCAGAACCTTAAAATCCGAAACCCAACCTAACCCACAACCCTAAAATCCCAAATCTAACCTAACCCATAACCTTAAAATCCCAAACCTAACCTAACCCACAACCCTAAAATCCCAAATCTAACCTAACCCAACACTCTAAAATCCCAAATCTAACCTAACCCAAACTCTTAAATCTTAAATCTAACCTAACCCATAACCCTAAAATCCCAAATCTAACCTAACCCACAACCCCAAAATTCCAAATCAACCTAACCCATAACCCTAAAATCCCAAATCTAACCTAACCCACAACCCCAAAATTCCAAATCTAACCTAACCCACAACCCCAAAATTCCAAACCTAACCCAACCCACAACCCTAAAATCCCAAATCTAACCTAACCCAAACTCTAAAATCTTTAATCTAACCTAACCCATAACCCTAAAATCCGAAATCTAACCTAACCCAACACTCTAAAATCCCAAATCTAACCTAACCCACAACTCTAAAATCCCAAATCTAACCTAACCCACAACCCCAAAATTCCAAATCAACCTAACCCATAACCCTAAAATCCCAAATCTAACCTAACCCACAACCCCAAAATTCCAAATCTAACCTAACCCAAAACCCCAAAATACCAAATCTAACTTAACCCAAAATACCTAAACCCTCAATGTAATTTAACCTAACCTAAGACTTACATTTAACTCAAAAAATTCCAAACAAAATATTCTTACTTTTACGACCCATTCGTGCAAATAATTTTAGTATTATCTCCGAGGTATCAAATTAGCATTTCTTCAATATGCTGTACACTATGTATTTGCACACAAATCGTCATCAATCAAGCGATCATAATAACCTCATCGAACATCGTAATAAACGTTTAAATATCACATTTTCTTAACATTACAGTTTGCAATTATTTCGTTACTTTTTTTCATCACAAGAAGAAATAACTATATTAAATAAATCAAGCTTGTCTATCACCTGGAATAAATTTATCGTATTGCATAACAGTTACGTTTTCAATATAATTATGAATGGGCGTATCGAGCAATAATTATTCAAATGTCTATAACGAATCACTGTTGGCGTAAAGATGGTGTAATGGCGGGAAGCGGGAGTTGTTTTCACAACAGCGACGCGTAAAGAATTTTCTCTCGATTCATTAAAACCAATCTCCTATTTGCTGATTGAATAATACCTGGCTTGCGAGATGTTGGTACTTAATTATTGATCGCTATGACACTCGGTGAATGTGGTATGCCTTCTACATATTAAAAATTGTTTGGTGACTCTTGATTTGTGATGGACGAGCTCTATTCATTAAACGAACGATCGTGCATTCCAGTGACGCCTTGTACATGATAAATAAACACGGTACTTTTAATTCTAGTAATTTACTGATATTTATAATTATATATTGCATGCAATTGATCCAAATCTGTCTTGATGGTTCAATACTTCGAAAGAGAGAACAAGTCAAGGTGTATTAAATTATTCAATTAGATTAACACCTAGATACTCGAGAATTTTATATGTATAGTAAAATAGCAGCTCGATAATTCCCTGCGCTTGGGGCTTCGGAGACGGACCCTAACGAATTATCTGTTTAGAATATTTTCAAAGCAACGAGTGCTTGTAATTAACTTCTACTAACAAAAATAACAAAATATTGCAAAAATAATATAAAAATATATCTGCAAGAATTTCACGTAAAATTAATTCTATTTGTTTTAATTTATGTAACATTTTCATAAATTTCTTTTTAAAAACAAATTTGTCACCTTTTGTGATACTTACATGATTAAAGATCAGACTTTCCAAGTGTTTCAAGATGCGCTATTTAATATATAATAACTTAACATGATCGAGGGATTCCAGCGGTTCTAACATCTTTCCTTCAACCGGCAACATCGCGTCTGCAAGTTGACTTTACATCTAGATGCAGATTGCAGATGCAGCGAGAGGTTAATCCGTGGACTCTCGATTTTATATGCATTTCATCGTGTTTCTTTTTTTACCCTTTCGTTCGCCACTCTTTCGCATTAATTACAGTCGACGTCATACAGACCAGACGTATTTCATTCCAACGTGTACCGCGCGCAATATTTCCTTCTCCCTGTTCGCGTACCAGAACGAGAGCAAAATAACCACGCATAATTATCTTTATCGACTGAATAATAGCGGTAGAAGAGAAAAGAATCTAGATGAAAAGCGTTTCGTACGTAAACACGTAAGACAATGTCGACTTTTCTACGCTTTGGCCCTATTGAAATTTTTATCCGACTGTGTGTGTGACGCGGAGGAGCAATGTACACTTCCCTCTTGAAAATGACGGTGCAGGGGGAAAAGGGATGTATCATTTGAAAGTTTACGACGTTTACTCAGATATTTAGGTAGATAATTAGATAGTTAGATTGTTAGATACCTAGGTAGTTAGACATTTAGATATTTAAATATTAAGGTATGTAGAAATTTGAACATTTGAAAATTTGTGCATATTCAACTGGATCACCCTATATGGTTAAATATTTATGCAATACCTAGTCCACATATTTTTATCCTCAAACATGCAAGAAGTTCGACAACTATTAAACTATGCTAACTGATAAATATTTCTAAACAAATGTTTGCAAACAAAAATTGTTACACCGTTCTCAAACATTCATCATCGCGTTTGCAAACAGAAAGTATATCTATTATTATCTATTATTCATAAATAAGCGAAGAAAGAAAGAATTACCTGCCGAATAGAGGATGCCATAGCTGCGAGTCATCAGGCGAGCTGGCCGTGGAGCTGACTTCCGGTTCCTGTTTAAGCAACCCGGTCCGTACCTTGAGCAACGGCGGGTAAGGGCTGGTTCTCCGGCTACTGGAAAGATCGATCGGCGCGGGCATTAGCGTGCCGATCGGTTTGCAGCTGAGCTTGGGCCTCGTTTGCGACGCGTTTTTCATCCCGTTGCTCGCGTGACCGGACCCTTTGTTAGTGCCGTTGTTGATCCTCGTATGAGAGTGTCGCGACCTGGAGACCGGGCCCTCGCCGTGATCGAGTACGTGCTGAAGATGCGCCAGGGATATCACCAATAAATCTGGATCCCTGAGGAGATCCGGTCTGGTCAATGCCTCCGGTAGCCTGAGCTCCGGCCGAGAGGCGAGCAATTTCGGAATTTCGGTGGCGGGAGCCGCGGCGAGACCCGGCAAGTAATCCCTCGGCACCAGCAGAGGATCCGGTATCAAATGTCCAGACGTCTCGATCAATTCTCTAAGCTGACTAGCAGGATCGAGGAGTTTATCCGTGCTGGTGGAGGTGGCACAGGCCTCCTCCATGGCGTGCATTCGGAGCTTCCCGGAGGATTTTTGATAGGAACTCGATTGGCTCTTTTGTCGACCGACCGACCATTCGGTATACATCGGCCTTTTGGGCGTGGCACGATCCGTCACGAGATACGTACTGTGGATATCACCGCTGGACATCGGTCTGCCGGAGTTCCTTATCTCCTGACCGTGAACACCGGACCGTTCCTGGAAGCTCCTGTTACCCTTTCTGTTCGCGTTAGTCCTCTCGGTGTCCTTCGCGTGATCCGTCCGCACGGGAAGATGATCACTGGGCACTTGCTCGCAGCGGATCGATATCTCCTTCTGTTTCTCGTAGTCTCGCGCCTCCAGTTGATTCGGTGACGACAAGATACCCTTCAAAGTTAGATCGTTCTTCGCGTCCTCCGAACAGGACACCGAACAAGGCGGACTAGGTAGTAGTCTCTCGAGATACGCGGAGGAGGGCCTCCTAGAAGCCGGCGAACACGGGATTCCACTTGGCTGCGGCGATACAACCGTGCCACGGGTTCGAAGTTCCTCGAGGACTTGCTCGTCGAAATGTTCTACATCCTGATATTTGCATTTCGCTTGCGCCTCGCTGCTTCTGCTCGAGCTTATCCAGTGCGCCTGATTCTTCGCGTTCTCCAAAGGAGTTCTACGATCCTCCGAATTCCCCGAGGTCTGTCTATGGAAATAGTCCCTGTCAGACTCGTAGGCCAAGGAATCGGCCTTCTGACGCCTGAGATCCTCCAGCACCTGCGAGTCGCAGTCGTCCTCGATCTCCTCGATGTCCCGTTCGTCCTCGTCCTCCTCGTGAGGGAATCCGTCCAGCTTCGACTCGTCGGCATAGCCGTCGTTCTTCGGGAAATTCACGGTGCTTTCCGGAGACTCGACGCGAGCCTTTGCGCTGGGAGAACTCGAGTGTGTCGCGACGGTTTGAGAGTTCCTGTACCGGTAACTGGGAATGATGATCGACAGGCCCGGCAGACTCTTCGGAGAGGACGTGCCACGCGCCTCCGTCGCGGAGTCGGCGTTTTTCAACAACCTCTCCACGCATTCCGCTTGGGAATCTGGCGATCTGCTCGAGGACGATGCCTTCGACGCCGGTCTCGTTATCGACTTCGTGCTCTCCGGCGTGTGAGTTCTCGTTATGGAGACTGACAGACCCGGAGTGTTCCTGAGCGCGTTCAGAATCTTCGAGCTGTCGTTGTAATCTAGTTTGATCGGTTCTCCCGGCTCGTCCGG